ACTTAAAGAAAATTTACTAGTACTTGCGTTTAGTATGTAACGAAGTAAATAAACTTTAAATTTTTGAAGAGTGATTTTATGTAGAGACAGTATCCCTGTATATTTGCGTGAAAAGATAAATTAGCGAAATTCCTATGAACAGGTTTGATCACTGAAAGCTTTTAATCGGGCACATCCGTAACTGTTTATCTCATCATTTTGACTGAAAAATCTTACCGTTGACTTTTCTACTCGTTTACTAACCGGAAAAGTCATTTGGGAACGAATATTTTTAGTATTCGGGCATTTAAATCCTGATCTGACCGAAAGGTGTCAAGTAGATAAAAATCACTTCACCTATAAACTTTATTGATTAATAAAAATAATATATTTGCAATATCCTAGTGAGCACAAAATTTAATGTCAGATGTAAGTTGCTTCTTCAAAGAATAAATAATTTTTTTCAAATTGTTCAGGGAATAAAGCGGATCAGAACATTTAGTACATAAAAGTCTGACTACACAAATGTCACATTTAGGTGATCCTGTATTGTACATATTTTTGTGTTCATATTTATGTGAGTTTACTTACTACTTTTACAAGTTTCCTTACGCCTGTTACTCCTCGTGAAGGAGCATAGGCCGCTCACTAGCATTCTCCATCCAACCCTTTCCTGGGTAATCCTTTCCAGCTCCTTCCAGTTGTTATTCATCGTTTTCATATCTGCTTCTATTTCCCGAAGTAATGTGTTCTTTGGCCTTCCTCTTTTTAGCTTCCCTTCAGGATCCCAAGTTAGCACTTGTGATGCAGTTTGATGATTTGCGTAATGTATGTCCTATCCGTTTCCATAATCTTCTCCTAATTTTTTGTTCAGCTGGAAGCTGGTTTGTTTTCTTCCAGAGAAGGCTGTTGTTGATGGTATCCGGCCAATGGATGTTGAGTATCTTGCCTAGACAACCATTTATAAATACTTGTACCTTCTTGATGGTAGTTGTTGTAGTTCTCCAAGTTTCAGCTCCGTACAGTAGAACTGCCTTGACGTCGGTATTGAAGATTCTGACTTTGATATTAGTAGAAAGTTGTTTTGAGTTCCATATGTTCTTCAGTTGTAGGAATGCTGTTCTTGCTTTGCCAATCCTCCCATTTACGTCTGCATCTGAACCTCCTTGTTCATCGATGATGCTTCCCAGGTATGTGAAGGACTCTACATCTTCCAGAGTTTCGCCATCAAGAGTTACTGGATTGCTGTTCTCCGTTTTAAATTTGAGGACCTTGGTTTTCCCCTTGTGTATGTTGAGGCCTACTGATACAGAGATTGCTGCTACACTGGCTGTCTTTATCTGCTTTTGTTCGTGTATATGCGATAGGGGGGCTAGGTCATCTGAGAAGTCCAAATCGTCTAATTGGTTCTGAGCTGTCTATTGTATGCCGTATTTTCCCTCAGAAGTCGATGTCTTCATAATCCAGTCGACCACCAGGAGAGGAAGGGAGCATTGTCGGACTCCGCTCCTTTCTTGAAATGCATCTATCAGCTGTCCTCCATGCACCACTTTGCACTGTAGTCCGTCGTATGAGTTTCGGATAATGTTGACAATCTTCTCAGGAACTCCATAGTGTCGAAGAAGTCTTTCATCCGGTTCAGCAACACTCTGTTGAAGACTTTCTCTAGTATTGACAGTAGTGTAATGCCTCTGTAGTTTTCACATTTGCTCAGATCTCCTTTCTTTGGAATCTTGATGAAGTGTCCTTCTTTCCAGTTCGTCAGCACTTGTTCCTCCTCCCAAATCTTTTTGAATAGAAGGTAAAGCATGTATGTAGTTACTTCGATGTCTGACTTCAGTGCTTCAGCTTGTATGTTGTCAGGTCCTGATGCTTTCCCGCTCTTAATTTGCCCGATGGCTATCCTGATTTCTTCGGTTGTTGGTGGAGTGACATCTATAAGAAGGTCTGTGTGTGCTATTTCAAAGTTCGAGGGATTAAATGGAGCTGGCCTATTCAAGAGTTCTTCAAAATACTCTAACCATCTGTTCCTCTGTTCTTGAATTTCAGTTATTGGCCTACCTTCTTTGTCCTTGACCGTCCTCTCTGGATATTATATCTTCATACTAGTTTCTCCACAGCGTCGTATAGTTGTTTCATATATTCTTCTCTTGCAGCTTTTTACGCTGTCACTGCTAGGTCTTCCATGTATTTCTTCTTGTCGGCGCTAATGCTCTTCTTCACTTGCTTGTTTGCTTCGGTGTATTCATCTTGTGCCCTGACTTTCTCTGTTTTTGTTCGGCTGTTGTTAATTGCTGTCTTCCTGAATTTTGTGCAGGGTTTCCATAGAGATCCATTCCTTATGATGATGCTTCTTTCGGCCCAGGACCTCCTGACACGTTAAAGTTAATGCTTCCTTGATACCTTTCCAGTTGTCCTTCATATTAGTTTGTTCTTTCAATAGATCCTGTAAGGCCTGGAAGCTGTTGTTGAGAGCTATCTTGAATTCGTCGAGTTTGTCAGTATCTCGAAGGAAGGCTGTATTGAACTTTATAGTGGTGTTTGTCCACTTGTCCAGTGCTTTTTTAGCTTCAGTTTTAAATTAGCTACAACTAGGTGGTGATCTGAAGCTACGTCAGCACCTCTCCTGGTTCTCACATCTTCCATTGTCCTTCGGAATTTTTTGTTGATGCAAATATGATCTATTTGGTTCTCTGTAGTGTGGTCCGGTGAGATCCATGTAACCTTGTGTATACGCTTGTGTGGAAATATTGTGCCACCTATGACCAATTTGTTGAATGCACATAGATTTGCAAATCTTTCCCCATTTTCGTTTCTCTCTCACAGTCCATGTCGTCCCATGATATGTTCATATCCGTTGTTGTCTATTCCGACTTTGGCGTTAAGATCTCCCATCAGAATGGTGAGGTCCTTTCTTGAGCACCTCTCTACGATTGATTGCAGCCGCTCGTAGAATTGATCTTTAATGTCGTCGTTGCTATTATTGGTGGGTGCGTAACATTAGATAATATTCATTGTGACCCCCTCCTTCTTTGTTTTGAATGATGCTTTGATGATTCTGGATCCGTGAGATTCCCATCCTTCAAGTGCATTTTGTGCTACTTTGGACAGCATTAGAGCAACTCCCTGAGTGTGTGGAGCATTTTCCTCTTCGTTGCCGGAGTATAGCAGCATCTCTCCCGTATTTAGACTTTGTTGTCCAGCTTGTGCCCAATGTGTTTCGCTGATTCCCAGTACTGCCAAGTTGTATCTCCTCATTTCCGTTGCTATTTTACTGGTTTCGCACATTGTTCGGACGTTCCACGTAGCTATAAAAATTGTTGCTCTGGTTGCTAGAAGGGGCATCGGCCTCGTGGCTTCCGAAGGAACTCGGCTTTCACCATGAAGCGTCATAATTCTTCTAAATGAAAACCTTCTAACTCCCAGGGCAGAGTTTAAATGGTTTGAATTATTTTTTCTGACTAGCGTTTTTTTAGCGAGTTAGTTTTCTACGGGATGGGGTCGCTAACCCCATGCCAAACCCTCCTCATTTACCCGGGCTTGGGACCGGCCGTAACCCTAGAAGAGCTACAGGCGGAGTTGTTTATGTGAGTAGGTGTGGAAAGTGTTATGTTTATAGTGTGAATGAGTTATTTAATTAGTGTCTTAGTTGTATGTTCCCAACTGCGTTGAATATGACTGTTCAAAAAAAGTTTCTGGCTGGTCAGTTAGTCAGCCCCTCACTTATATCGAAAACTGTAGGAATGAGCAATATGTGAAGTGCCTCAGCTATATTTATTTGTTTTTAGTCCAAAAATACTTTTAGGATCATGTGGATATTTTTAACATCGGTTCGATTGTTGTTAAACATCACATGGAGTGCCATCGCCAATTCCATTTGTTGATTTTCAAGTTCTACAGGATTGTTAGGTATTTTTGTTACTCAAATATTACTCCGGATTGATCAAGATTTTAGTAGACTATATGATATAAAATATATTATAATCAATCCGATTTACTCTGTCTTCACTATTATGTGTTAATGTAAATCGGATCTTTATTTCATATAAACCATCACATTTCTAAATGCGTCAATTATTTAGTAAAGGCTTTAATTCTGTATTGCCCCAGAATTCATGAGTTTGACTAACCTAATTCCAACAACTTTATAACAAAATTACACTAAACAGAAATGTATGGAAGGTGGATAACTTTTAGTGAGTAAATTTTCTATTGTGGTCACAATGTTTTGTCCTAAAATATGTTTAGTAATATCCAGCCCGAGAGAAAGTCATATACCCGAAAATTGAGAAATTCGATACGGCAAATTGAAATGAATTCGAAATAAATCTAAACACATCAAGAACAGAACTTCTCAAATGTGTTAAACGCGTTTAGAAAAAGATGTGATACCACAAGTATAGATGGAATCAGAATAATGAAGTAATAACCTTCACTTAGGACGCTTTTTGTCAGGAAACTCGCCTAGCACAGAGGATTATACATAATCCAAATAATTCAACAAGGGATAATGAACAGCCATAGGAAAAAACGTAACTAGGTGAGGGCTCTTCACATTAAAAACACAACAGATCGAATAACTAATCAAACCTCTTGGTTGCTTAGGCCATTCATAAGAAGTTAGGGGAGATAATCATAGGACACGTTAAATGTGATCGTAAGTAAAGGGCTCTAGAATATCTTCGATGATTTATAGAAATGTGACACGATTTACAAAGAGGAAGAGAGATGACAAACAGGACTTGTGAAATACAATGCACGCAGAATTTTAGTGAATAAATGAGCTCGAAAGTCGCTACTTTTGCAGTTCAATGAAGTATAATATGTTTGGAGCCAAGATTTACCATAAATTAATAGTTTATGATCATTCATGTAACCACCATTTTATTTCTACATCATTCCGTGCAGATTTTAATTTCATATTTGTAAATTAAGTTATGTATTTAAAATCAACTTAGCATATATTCATTACGTATAAACCGATATTAATTGCTTTTTTTCTCTATGTTTTCAAATTAAAGATACTAGATATTTCGAGAGTGGATACACGTCATTCAGGAATATTTTTATGCAAGGCAGAAACTGTTAATCCAACATGGTCACCACAAAATTCAGAATACGATTCACGCTTATACGAAAGTGGAGTTGTAACTTCACCTTTCTTGATACAAATCCAAGCCATTCGTGGCATAGTTTATTCACGTCCACGTTTACTCCCGGGAAGCCCCATGGAAGTATTCTCTACAACTGATTCAGATGAATCACAGTTGGTGGATCCATATAAACACTTTGTTAACAAGCGTCAGGATGAACAGAGATTAGATACAATTCCAGGTTCATCCAGTTATTTGCAAACTGTCTTGCCTTTATGGCGTGGTAGTGATAAAGAAAAAGAAAAACCTATTATGACAAATGCAAGAAAGATAGTTCAGGAAGGTGGAAGACTCATATTAGAATGCCAAGCTCGTGGGAGACCGAGTCCACAACTACTCTGGTATAGAGGTGGTATGGGATCTTCAACAACAAACAGTTCTCAGGCTATTACATTCGATCAACGGATCAAGTCAGCATTACAGCACTTACCTTTGGAAGATGTACAACGAGAACTGGGAATTCTTATCGCTGACTTCGATCATCTTTTTCCTGCTGTAATTAACATGGTAAATATATCAAATGAAGTTACAAACAAAGCACCTGAAAATCCTGGAAGCATTCACAGAAAAGGAATACAAACGCATGAATTAGGTCGTTTTCAGTTGTCTACTGGTCTTCGAAAAGATGACCAGGGAGACCCCGTTATAGCAATGTCACGCTTAACAATCAATAACTTAATGCCTTCAGATGCCACTCGTTATACTTGTCTTGCCCTCTTGAATTTGAATTACTATGGTGGGGCTGGAAATTTTACTGATGTTGGGAGGTGAGTGTATATCTGTAAAAATTAATTAAATGAGATGACTTACGTATGCGATAAACCTTTTTGCCTAAAATTGGGTCTTGAATTATTCCATGTCCAAAGACATTATGAGGACAATTCATTATATGGAATAGAAGAAAGTTGTCGTTTGATGTTAGTAAGAATAATTTTTCCTCAAACCTTTTTCTTCAAGTTCAAGAGTTTTAACTCAGATTTAAGTGTCATATTTAGCAAGAATTAAGGACGACTTCATGTCGACGTGTCTCGTATGAGTATTTTTACATAAGTGAATCAAAGAGTAGTAGAATAGTTAATTCATTCATTTTATCCAAAAATTCATGATACTTTCTCCATTGATATTCTTGAATCAGGCAAGAACAACGAATGTAGCAGAGCAATATGAAGTCGTTTATTATATGAATTCCCTTCTGCTGCTTACAACCTAGAAAACATATTCTAACTTTACACATGATGAAATTATTGTCATTGTTTTTGTGTTTTTTAAAGTTCTTTTTCATAATATTCTAACCTGATGTAGGTTTCTACTTAGCTGAAGCTTTTCATCAACACTTGTACTATTTTTTTTCAGCATTCTTCCTGATGTTGTTCTCAGACCCAGATTTGTTCGCTCAGGAACTAATTTAAAAGCCAGCGGATATCCTGGAGAAAGTTGCAGGCTAACATGTGAAGCATACGGCGGTCTTCCGAATGAAATGGGTCTACGGGTTCGACTTTTAAAAGGTCCTGGTGTCAACAAACTAATTTCTTCTTTATCTTATTCTATGTATTCAGAAAATAAAAATCCTATATTTAAATCGTATGAAGATCTTGCTGAACCTCAGTCAGTTCATTCTTCATACACCAACCCAATGTTTAATCACAAATCGTTCGTTAAAGACAACGAATTAAATGACTGGTTTCCATCTGATACACAGTACACAAGTTTGTTGACTGGAAATGGCATGAGCGATAAATCAAATAACAGTGATTTTATTGAAATTGTCAAACCTGGTATGAATCCTCGATATCACTTGAAAGTTGAACCAGATCCGCGAAATCCATACGCAACAATTTTACGTTTGGATATTACAGGTAAGCTTTCGTAAACTATAATATCATGTATCAACAGATTATGTGTATTGTCAGAAAATGTAATTGTATCGCTTTTGATTATTAGTTATTCAGCAACAAACTATTACTGTAGTTAGCTATTTATTCCTAAAGACAATTTGTGATGAATTTTCTGCAAAACATTTAGTGATTGTCCATAAAGCTTGCGTTTCACTATCTGACAAAAAGATATTTTCACTGCATGAAATTTTAAGAATTTTCCACTAATCTTCAGAATTGTTTTGTAACATTAGCACTTTAATTACTCTTCAAATTGATATAGTGAGCAATGATTTAACGAATTGCAGTGGGAACAATACATGAAAATGATTTATTCTCAATCCCCTGTGGCATATTATTACATCCTGTGAAAGAGTAATTACGTAACTTAGTCAGTTGGTTATATCTGTTGGTCATAAATATTTAATTATATGAAATTGTAAATGTGTTCACTCTGTAGGTTACTGATTAATTGATGTTGAGTAATACCCATTTTGATGGAGTTTTGTTCTCTGAGCTGGATGGTTTGGTCAAACCATCCAGCTCAGAGAACAAAACTCCATCAAAATCATCCACCTGAGCTACAAATCTTCTCCACCATCTCAATACCCATTTTAAATTATATAAATCTGAATGTTAATCTGACTAAAGAACCATATAAAAAGTAGTGTATTCAGGTATCAGTTAGGTCTATTTTGGAGATCGAAACATTCTTATCACCAGTTTCTGTTTTTTTCCTACTCATTGTTGGATTTGGGGTTCCAGTATCAAGCACATGTCAGTCAAGACTTCAGCAAACATAACACACATATGATTATGGAACCTGTAGGTAATGTTTTAGTGTTTTGTTATAAGTGTTCTCTGGTTTTTAAATACTGCAAATTGTGATTCGAAAAATACTTTACAAAATATTTTTCTTTGGATTTTCCATAACGAAACCAGTCACTCACCTTGAAACTAAGTCAATAAAAAGGTTAATTCTGTACATTACATTTGCTCGAGAGCTATCTTATTTTGGGTATCATTAAAAGTCAGGGAGGACTGTACTACTGTTTTGTCCTAATATGGATATCCTCAGGAGTGCGCCCATACTGACTACAAGTGAGCCTAAACTATAATTCCTGAACTCTAAATGTTGATGTATTTGGTAAGAATGGATTATCATAAAATCAGTGATTCCAGTAAGAAACTTGATAAGATTCGATTTTAGTTGTGCACTAATTAAGAAATCGATTTGGTTATTTTAATTTAGAAACATATTCAGTTTCAGTAAGAATATGTAATGTATTTTCAACATTCATTGTTTGCATACAGATTGAAGGTAAGGATATTAATAAATTGCTCGTTTTCGATAAATTTTGGATGTAATCATCTAAAAGTATTGAGTAATTTAGAGATATATGATTTATGCTAAGTGACCCCAAAAACAGTATTATGTAATAAAGTGGTCCTTTCTGATAAGGAAGATAAATATATGTAATAGATGGGACTCAAAAAGATTTTTTCACTTGTGTAAAATGATTTAACGGGCAATCATCACCAGCCTGTAAATACTTTGTCAATTTGTGAGTGGAAAAATTTAGGATATTTTAGTGATAACGCTAATAATATTTTCTGAAAGCGAATGTAGTTCCCATCGTTTTGGACATTTTTCTAACTCATTTAAAGTGTCTTTAGTATTTTTTTTTTATTGACCTGATGCAAAAAAGTATTTTCTTGATATGAACTGTCTAATCTGACACACTTCAACTGATTTGGGCCGGATTACTCAACTAAAATAAACAGTATCACTTGTGCATATTTGAACTATGAATGATGATAACTAAGTCATTTAAATATTTCATTGAATTATAAAAACAGGTTTGTTTGTTTGTTTAATTACCGACCTAAAATTTAAAAACCTTTCAGTTCTTTTGACGTTGCTTACGTTTTAATAAATTATGTGCGTGCTGGTTAGTTGCATTTTATATGCTTTTTGGTCAATGGCTGACGTGTTTAAATAGTGATTCTTGTGATTGCTTCAGTCAACATTCTGAAACCTAAGTAGCAGTTAGATTTACCATTCACTCATAATAATGAAAAATTAATATCTATAAGTGAGATTCTTATAACGCATAGGAATATATGAATTACTATGTTTGAGCATTTGCTCATTTTCTTAAACAACGGCTATTAAGTATTGTAACTACTATCAGTGAGATTTAAGTTACTAATTATCGACAGAAATTACACCAGATTCTTCGTTTCAATACTTTTCAGATTTAACACCAGAAGATAATTCATTTTATTTATGTGAAGCACTCTCCGGACCTCATTGGCGAGCAGTTACTCCTACATCATCAGAACCGCCTGGGAGAGTGACAGTTTGGTTCGCTCCACCTGCCGCAGAGCCTCGACGTATTAGTGAAATATCAGACCGATTGGATGCGGATGAAAGTGAAACACTCTCTCAACCTGGCAAATATGTTGTTTATGGTCTATCTCATTTACCTTCTAAAATAGCTTGTCAAGCACTAGGACAACCAGCACCTCAATGGAAATGGGTGGGACCACAAAGTGGACCAAGTGTACCATTAGGTGAACTAAATGATCCGAAAGGGTAAGTAACCTTACAGATTAGCGTTGTGCACTTCAACTCTGCATTACATTGGAAATTGTAAAAGTCTTAATTTTAGTTTTTAAAGGCTGAAATAAAACAAGTACTGATTTTAAAAACCTAATGTCAATTTATCCCGAGTAATTAAAATACCTAAGAGTAAATATGTCAATGAAACAATAAAGAAAAGCAAGTGATATTTTCGACTGGATGATTAGCGTCTACAACGGTACTTTCTGCTGCTTTGTGTCACTGCGATGTAACAGTTTGATTACTGGATAAATAAATAAAGTGTTTATCATAAAAGTAGCCTTAGATTCAAATTTCTACTCTATGTGAAAAATATAATAAAATTAGGCAAAAAAAATCCCTTTATTTATCCACCCCTAGCTTTCTTCCAGTCTGCTCCAACACCAGACCTCGCTTGTCCAGGTGGCGGTGATTAAGCACATGTAACACATGTCCTAACCAACTCAGTAGATAAAGATTTATAATTTTATCAATCGATTTGACACCTTTGTTAAGTGAAATATTCCTTATTTCAACACTGCCCACTTGGCAGTAATAGTAATAGTAATAGTAATGCAAATTTCCAGTCAATGTTTATTTTGAAGAGATATAAAATTTTTTTATTACAAACTTAGAAGGGGTAATTCATCTTGATGTATAGAAACTTGGTGCGTATTAGGAAAAGCAAACGTTCACAATGCCTTCACATGCAAAAGCACTTTAAGAGATATTTGGCTCATATTCAAAACAAAATTGACTCTGTACTAAACAAGATATTAAGTGATATATATTGTTTGTTTAAATTTTCCTACTGATACCTAGAATTGCAAGTGGTCAGTTTTTGACTGATAAAGGAAACCTATGTGTAACAGCACATGTAACCTCAGCAACATTACCATGATTTTTGTCAGTCTGTCCATTTCAGATAGACTTAATTCTTATTATAAAAGTTTTCCTTAACTAAAGCTATTTGATTATTATTATTATTATTATTATTATTATTATTATTATTATTATTATTATTAATGGCTTTATTCAATATTATATTTTGGTACAATATAGAATTCTCAGTACAGGGTATTTCAACAAGTTACTTACGCAAAAAAAACAGTAACAAAGACAAAAAAGGAAAAAAGGCTTGAAAACCTAAAAAATGTACAACTTTTAAAATTAAGGACATGTTAAGAATGCAGGTTATTGACTAAGTTAACTCTAACAACCTGTTCGTCACAGAGTATATTTGCTAGGTAAAGTATTATAGAACTCTTATACTTTTGTTTGCGTGCATGAATTTTAATGTAATTACGTCTCATTCTACCAGATATACAAGGAGAAAGATAAGAGTAAAGGGCACGGTTAATATCTGATAAAATAACACCTGCCAGGAGTTTGCATGACTTTAGATGTCTATCCACAAACATATTAATTTTGACCTCGAAAGATTCACCACACATCTTGCTAACTGCCTTCAGCACTCTCCTCAATACAGCAAAGTCTTTTCTCAAAAGCCCGGGAAAGAATAATGGAGAACAGTAAAGAATAGTAGGTAATATGCAAGAATTGACAAATTGTAAGAGTAAATGACGAGTAATCCCAAGAGCATGCAATCTCTTTATGTAGTAAGTCAGACGGAAAACCTCCGATAACAATAAAACGTGAGAAGACCAAGAGAGATCAGAGGAAAAAGTAACACCAAGATAATTGACCTTCGACACTGTGTTTATCAAAGAGCCTCCAATGGCACAAGCATTACTGGATCTCAAAATGGTGTTTAGATTCCGTTCATGTCTCATGCTAATGTTAATGGCTTGACATTTAGACGGATTAAGTATGAGACCATTACCAACAGACCAACAATCAATAGGAGACAAAAACCCATTCATTTCTATGGGATGTAAAGAGGAAGAGATAGGCATACATACAGTGAGATCATCCGCATATTTCACAAAAGTGTTTTCTATGGAAGAAGGCAGATCATGCAGAAGAAAAAGAGAAAAGAAGAGGTGTAAGAACAGCTTCTTGTGGTACACCTTCATGAGACAGTAGAGACTCTGAACACTTTCCTTCAAATACAGTGTACTGTTCCCTTCCAGTGAGGTAGGAACAGTAACCTTTAGATATGCAAATTTATGAATTACTTTTATTAATTTCTACATTTTAACTAACACCTTGTAATAAGATAAAAAGCGATTCATAATTCTTAATTTCAGTTATATTAAAATGGACTATCAAGACGGCGAATATTCTGTAACTGAATTAACTGTTCCTGCTGGTTATTGGAATGTCGGAGTATTTGGTACTTATTCATGTACTGCAACCAATAGATTAGGCCATGCTACTGGGCATGTTCGACTGCAGCTAGCTAGCCATCCTGGTAGACCAGCTTTAAGAGCTTGTAGAGTAAGTTAACTAATGAATAGTTGTCGTAAGATATACGGTGAATGAGCTCTCAAAAATATACTATATTTTTTTCTTGATCAGGTCACATGAGAAAAACATAAGTTACCATTCAAAAAGTTTAGTTTATTATTGTGTTAATACTGATCTATAAGAATGAATCAACCAAACATATTTTGGGTAATTGTCTATCCTTTAGATTAAGTCTATTCTTGGACTGACCAATTACGAAGTCATACTTTTCAAAAAAGTAAAACTGGATATTTCTTTCATGAATTAGCTTTTGTCATGTCCTTACGAGTATTCGAAATATATGTGCTTATCGTTCCTTTCCCATATTTTGAACTAACTATATTAATTCGTTTAAGAGACAGATAGTTTCACCCATTAGTAGACAAATTAGATCCTACGTATTTCATTTGTTTTCTTCTTCTAAAAGGTAATCTCAGTTAAGTTTATCAATAAGTGTATACTCATGTCATTTGTTGTAAATGTTCATTTCACATTCCTTCACTTGGAATCTTTTCATAAAAATAATTTTCTCATTTACAAAGTGATGCAGATGTTATTACGATCAATTTCGAGATTTATCGCCACTGGTGCTAAACTATTAAATTAATATGGTTCAATAAGATTTTTGATTAGAACGTTATTTATTAAAAACTGATATTATTTCTGAAATTATGGGAAATTTCATTGGCACATGAGTGATCTACGAAATGTTTATCTTCTAATCGTTGATGTATCAGTTAACTTCTAATCGTGTTTATTCATCTGTTCAATATTCTGTAACATTAACGTGGTATTTTATTCAAAAGAACTTATTCTTTGGGCTAGAAATAGTCTTGGATGTCAGTTCACTGCGTCAGTAATCGGGTCTCCTGAGGAGCGATGGATCGACTGCTTTTTATCATTCCATTTCAACTATTAAATTATCTTAACAAAGCATATTCGTTGATTATATCACTATTAATAACTATTTTGGAAAATGTTTTCAAAAGAGATGATGGTCATTTAATATCAAGGAGTAAGAAATGTAAAGTACTATTGTGGTGTATGCTACTTATGTTGACAGATATAAGTAGTATGTAAATCAATCAGAAGTGGAATGTCTTGCATCAGAAGACTGGGAAGATCGAACTGAAGAGAACAGAAAGGAAAACAGAGAGGAATTGGAATAAAAACGCAATTGGAAGAATTATGAAGTATGTAAAAGGCAACTAATGGAATATATGCAAATGATATAATTAATGTATGTACTCAACGTATGTATGTAATTATATATGCATTTCAATATTTCAACTAGGTTGAAGCAACTTTAATTGAATTGTGTGTTGAACCTCCAAATGAGACAGGTGGTTTGCCTCTAACTCATTATGAATTAAGAATCCAAACTCATCCACGTGGTGCTTTTCATGGGCCTTTCGCTTATCTTCCTGGTCGCAGAGTGCTGAGATTACCAAATCTTATTCCAGGTTATTACTATCGATTTGCTCTGTCAGCCGTATCAAGAGCAGGAAGAGGACCAAATGCGTATTTACAGGTATGTGTAACAGCACTTATTGCTCATTAACCTTGTCCACCGTTAAAAGTTATCCATCACAAGTCGTTAATGCGAGTTACTTATTCTCATCTTTATTTTTAAGATCTTTTTATCTGACATTGCAGCACAATTCTTATATTTCACACAAATCATTGTAAACTATACACACTATGTATGTATAGAAAACCCAGCTTACTCATTTCCTTTAGCTGATTAACCAGTGATCACCTTTTGCCACAGGACATCCTAATGTTCCTGATATGCTCAATTTGAAACATCAGAATAAACAGCAGTAGTAAAGTTCGTTTGTCCTACTCTGTAGTTAACGAGCAGTTCCCCGTCATAATTTACATCTTATCGGTAACCTTCAACATGACGTGTCAATAATCTGGCTAAACATATACTACTTTTAAGTTACGAACTTATTTTATATTATCTTCTATGTTCGTTTGAGTTGTTTTCAATAGCTTTGTAGGAAGAATGTATTTCTTTTACTTTCTTGTTCAAAGTCAACTAGTAGTAGAATGAGAAAGTATTCTACTATTAGAAAATTGTTCGATTGTGAATGATGCATGCATTACAGATACATGTTTCTTATTTATTCAGTCTTCTATTATAAAATATCCTTTACAAATTACTGCTAATAGAATATCCAGTTAGTTAATGTTGGTAAAAAACGGAAGATTTTTAAGTTTAATAAAGGTATATAATTTATGTTTTAATTAGTATTCGTCGTTTGTAATCATCAATTAACTTTATATGTTGATAGGTTACAACTAATCGATTATCTAGACCTGTACTTAAACTACTTGCTTCTCAGGATTATATTAGTCCCACAGGATATAATGTTCATTGGAATACAGAAACTACAAACGGTATGGATATCAATCAATATAATATCAATATAAGACCAGTAGAAGTTGATTATTCCATGGGTAAGTTTAATATTTTCTCCATAGCACACATAAAGGCTAAGTATGATCATTGTTATTTTTATTATTATGTAAAATAAAACAAAACTGCAATATCTTTCAAGAGGACGAAATCATTTGAGTTTCTGATGTCTTGGTAAATACTTTAATTAATGATGGTGAAGCTCAGTTGTGCTTAAGAGTGTTTAAACATTTCAAATATAATTTTTTTTTCAAAGTTTTTATTGAAATAATTAGTGAACACCGAATATAAACTGGATGTCAATGAATGGTAAGAACAGTTTTTCAAGTTGTACATTAAAATGGACAAATCTTCATAAAACTATTGAGATACTTAGGAATAATACTACCATTAATAGAATATTTTAAAGAAAAAGGAAATAAAGTCATTATTCTTGTTCCTCTAAATTATGATGATTGTAAATATCTTGGTCGGTTGGTTTTTGAGTCTTATGAATTAGATGAATGCTGCAACTTATGCTAGTAACAACTGCCAACTAATACTGATATTAATACGAAACAATTAGATGAGAATGGTTTCTCAATTTCCTTCGTCCTCATTTCACTTATTCCATACACATATCTGTAATTCAAATGCAAACTTTCTTGTTTGAGTTCATGTGACCCGTTTTCACTAGATGCGATTTCGTCATGTGTATATAAGTGATAAATTATTCTATTTTCCTGCTGTTGTTGTAAACATAAGGTGGAAGAAAACTATTTAGGAATGACAAGACCAAAATAAAATAGTGATCCATAAATTCAGTTAGTGCCTGTCTGTAATATGTGGGTTGGCCTTACTTATCTTGATTAATATGAAAAAACCACCACTGGAGCCCAGGGTAATACCCACAGGCCAGGGTACATACAGTCCAACACGAAGCCAGGTGCATGCCGTTTTAGAAAGCAGGCCTAAAGACGTTCAGCCAGCTCTCAAGGTAACATTTAACCGTAGCAGCAAATTGCCGCCACGTTACCAGCGGGAACCACGGAGAAGTAGCTACCCTGCAACTACAACCCCCAAAAGGCAACTAAAAACCTCCTCATTAGATGACGAGACATTTGGCTACCTTAAGAGAGTCATAGTTACTCCCGCCTGATTAATATGATAGGAATAGTAAAAGAAAACACAATTTATTAACAGTAAAAAAGCGAAATTCGAAATGGTGTCCACTTTTTTTCGCTCTCCAAATATTGGGCATCTTATTATTTTAAGTCTGCTTGTTACTCTACCAGCTGATTTCTTTCTCCTTATTCCCTTTTCAAAGTTTTCTTTTACCATCGATTCCCTCGTTTTAATTAGCAGAGGTGTCTAAAAAAAATTAAGTCATTGAATTTTAGCATAAGATTCTACATTTTTTGTATAAGGCTTTTGAAAAGAAAATTAATTTTCAATAGGTACATATGCCCAATAATTTTTCAAAATGTCGGTTAGTTATTACAATCATTTTTTCTGTATGATCGAATCCTGTACTCTTAAACATCTATATGTGTAAAGTTGTCTCATGTCTTAGCCATATATGCTGATTGATCATACAGTAGTAACCAATCTTCTGTTTGTCTAGTCCTTACTGCTGATCAAATTCTATCAACTAAGTTACAATATGGCCAGTAGTGTGACGCCAAACTGTACATATTACCTTTGAACATAGGTATACGTGAGCATAAACTCGATCCTTGTTTCGTACTGTTTGACACTTAATAGAAAAGTTCACTTCCATTACTGAGGAAACTGATACACAGACATTAGTACTGAGCTATTCTGCTCGTGATAGATACTCCTTAGGACTAAAAAATATTTGCGTTCAAAATGTGATGATGGTAATAGTGATTTTAAACAGGTTAAAGATATGATTTGAATTTCTGTGACTAGTTTGTTCAGTTACCTATAAAATAAACGAGAAATTCATTTTAATAATCAGGTTGGAAGATGCTTAATGGGATAATTTCCTTATTCATAAAATTCATGAGAAATAATCTAGTCTTGTTTTATTGACGATACAATCTTTCATCGACTTTTATTTTGTAAAATATAGTTTTGTTCATGTTATTCTATCTGCCCAGTTTACCTTCCCATAAAAGTAAAGTCGGTGGTACCATAATTTATGGACGATCTTAGAGCGACGCTAAAGTGATCTTGAGACAACTCACCTTACTATAGGTGGGTTACAAATTAGTATAAGGAATTAAGATTAGGATTTAGAGTTAGAATTTAGGTTTAAGAATTAAATCAACAGTTTTCATCACGAACTGACATAAGTTATAATGCCGAAGTGCTATTTAATTATATAGGTAAATGAACTTCGCAGTAAAATATAAAACTTGGTATCTTCAATCTAATTGGTTCGTCCATAAATTATAATCCCGCCGTAAAACATTTTTCTTATCTTGTGAAACGATATAAAATGAAGCACATCCGATTGACACTAAATAAATGACGTAATTTTTGGTTGATTAATTACTGTGTTCAGTATAACAACAGAGTTTTACAAATACGAGGGCTCAGGGCATTATTTTAGGGCTTGAGCCATAACTACTATAAATGCATCAGGTATATTGGAAGGCAGCTAAATGTCATAAATTGTCCACTATAATTTCAAAATTCCCATTAATTCTTTTGAATCTCTGGTTTAATCAAATCTGACAATTAAAAACACACAATTAATACACTACTCGATATATTGGGGGTCGTGAGCGAGTGTTAAAAAAATTATTATAATTCAACACTAAATTAATATTATAGCCGGGTCGTCATCGTTATCTATGCATCTCCATATTTTTTATACTTTGAAAATGATGAAACACTTCAATTCCTTCAATGTGAAGTATGAACACAAAGAATGGTACAAGTGAGACTCTAAACAAAAATGCACTCGTTGATTTGTACATCCATTTTGTTTATTATTTAGGAAAAAGGTCACATATGTCAAAGTGCCTAAAATGGTAACAAACTACATGGTACATATCATTCAGAGCATAGTCCACGTTAATTTATTACAAAGAATATCATATCATACTGAATAAAAATCACATTGAAAATGAAACTAATCTTAAATTGAGCAAATTATTACAATATAAATAAGTTGAGTATTAGTCTGAGCACTTATCACTGAATGAAAAAAGGAATTATGTGATATATTAGCGCAATACATTTCGAACAATCTGATCACGCATATACTTGATAAGACATTCTTATATCAAAATTAAAGGGTCAACTAGACTAGAAATGGAGGGTAAGAGGAGACAAGGATAATAAATAAAATAATATGAAAAACAACTTGAAACCTGATCACTCTGGATAACAAGCTAATATAACCAGGGTAGGTTTAAGGTGAAAACAATATGTTTTTGAACATACAAAGGGGATTTGAATTTTCGTATGGTTAAGGCTTCAATAAACCTTAGTATACGCCCTTCTACACTTTTGTACAACACCACAAAAACCGAGTTAAGATCATTCTTATGACCTGTTTCAATTGTAGAGGATGATGGATGTTTATCCTCCATTCTTATCGGGTCATTGGATATTTTTTGTTTCTGTAACCATTTAGGTACATGTTCACACACCCTAATTTTGAGATCACGATTGCTCCTCCCTATGTATGTGTGACCACATATATACTTAAATTGGTAAACACAGTGGGATGTGACGCAATCGTTTTCTTGTCTTTTAGATTTTTGATGATAATATCTCACATAGTTCTAATAATCTTATTACACTATCGAAATTTATCAAATGGACTAATTGTCTTATAAAAAGAATGTAATATTCAGCAACAATCACATTGAATTAGAGGAAAATGTGATCTCACTTTCCTCCCGTCATATGAGTTGTGCTTTAGTTCAATGACAATTTAAACTATGTATATCTTGTAGTTTAGAAAATACAGTATTTCTCATCTGTAAAGTAGGAAGATCACGGTGTAAAATGTTTTTTATTATAGACCATTGATTTCTGATTCTTATTTTATTACTAAATAGTCGTTTTGAAGAAAGAAACAAAAAATTCCCTTGATGCAGTCTATATGTACTATAGTGTTTATGCAACTATCTAAATAAAACTAGGCTTCATTTGATTTATAATTTAATCCAAAAATTAGGTGAGATAGTTGGACGTCCTATTGGATCTTGGACTCATTTTAATAACATTGAACCTCTGTGTGTTACATCAGTGGCAGAAGATCAAAAAATATGCAATTTCTTAATTGACGATTTAAAGCCAAACAGTGCATACGAACTAGAATTATCTGGACAGAATTCAATGGGATTCTCAGAAACACAACGAATCATATTTAGAACATCATCATTGACAGGTGTGAATGGACGAATACTAAATATGCCCTCAACTATGAGATTAAAAGGGAAATCTAATCATGTTCATCTAGCAAATAGTTCACTTATTTTTCTGTTAGTCACTATTCTACACTTCAACTTAATTTATAAAAGACTTATGTTTCAGTTATTGATAAACAAGATATAGATGTTATATAAGAAAACTTCTTATAGGCAAAGTCTGACATAATCGCATTGAATAGCTGCCTCATACGTATATGATTTGATATTATTTGATATTGTTGTAAAACTATTATGTTGAAGCTCTTCAGTTCTCTTACTTCCTCAGTGTCGACTTGTTCATCATATTGTGATACTTATAAATAAACAGATTTTAATTATAATTGCTTTTATTTTAGTTCGTCAGATGTCTACTTCTTTATTAAGTTTATATTATTATTCTTTACATCTCCTTACATTTTATGAATATCTATCAACCTTTGTTGAATATTTGAATTCATAAGATTAGTGTCACTTTCATCGTTTTCTCCATCTTTATATTTATTCATATGTCTATTCAGTTACATAACCCAGTCGGAAAATGTTTTCATTGTTGTTATCCTTTGATGTGTTATTTACTATAACCTTTTTATAATATCAAACATAATATTTATTCATAATATATATACACTTCACCACCGTTTATATAATCATCAACATCGTAATTTCTCTTGTCAATGTAATTCTCAGTGTTTATGCTATTTTTCTCCATATTTTGAATTACCATAATCATTAATATTATTGTTATCGTTATTATTACTATTACTTTACTATTATTATTATGCGAAAAATAAATTACTTTTTTCGACTAGTTAATTTCATCTTTCGTAGTCATTGAAAATAATGAAGTATGAACTTGTAGTTTGCAAGTTAAGTACCAAATGAGTATTTGCAAAACGAATGTTTTGATTTTAATTAATAATTGATAGGCAGGGGGAATAAGAGATTTTGAGCTATCGCCTATTTCTATCAATTATCGTCCTCATCTTAATATCGCGGCTTATAAACCTGGTTTTAGTTTAAGGACAATATTGTGATTCATTTAATTGGTACGGTACTTTTGAAATGCAACTATACTGAAAATCCATCCATAATACCAAAAATCAAAATAAAATGAGTGTTACAAACACATTAACGAAGACCCTAATATTTCGGTTTTTTCATATTGAAATATAGATTGTTATCAAGGTTTCTGTATTTTCTAGTCCTGCTGTATAATATAAAATTTGATTAGACTGCTACCTTTATGTGATATAATTCGAAAAAAAAGTTAGCGGAAGTTTAAGAGCAAAACACCATATGAATTTCCCGACGATGTAGAAAGTTTGAAATATTCCCATATTATAAATTGGGACGTCATATATAAGCGAACAATATTGTTTTCGATTAGATCCTCATCAGGCAGTAATATTTATATGCATATATGAAATTATTAAACCAATCAAGGTATTTTATGAGTCAATGATAATAATGAAAACGATTACATAATATAGAAAGTGGCGAGTCAAAATTCGATTGTCGAGTTCCTACTTATTTTATTATTCAAAAAACATTTTTATCGGTAGTATTGTCGGTTTTATTTTGTTCAGTTTAGTTCTGATATTTTTTGCTCGTGAGTCAATGATTTGTCATCTGTAGTGAATCCCAACAGTCAAAAAATAAGAGATTTCGTTCAACTAATAAACAATTATGAACTGTTTCCAAAATCCAACCATCTACGGAAAGTCAGATGAAATTAAAGAAACAACACTAATCGGGAGTCATGATGCTGAACATATAATCTGTCTGGTCTGCAAATACTTAAAACATATCTTAGATGATGTATGAAATAAAATACTGCAGATAAGCCATATTTATTTATTAACCTCAGTTTGTATATTCTTAGGAAAACTTCCTCTGTTTAAACTTGTCTTTAAGAGAAACAATACACCTTGTTATACACTTCTAGTCAAGTATTCTCGATCAATCGTTTATCAGCATACATATATAATGGGAAACCTACATTTAAAACAACCGTTAATCGTGATACACTTTGACCCAATAGTAAGATAAAATTCCTACCATGGATATTTTTATTTCTACGTAGTTTAGTGAAATGAAATGTGACAATCTGTGAGTGAAAGCACAGTAAATAGCATACAAGGGGTGACACATAGATGTATGCATTTTGACGGTAGGGAAGATTTGTAGCTGAGAATTATTTTGGAAGTGCTTTTTCTCTAACCTGGATGGTTCAATGATGAAACTCCTACTGTTCTTTTCGAATCATGTGCTAATGATTTTAGTCAGAGGTTTCACAACTGAACCATCTCACCTAGCACACATCTCAGAAGGAGGTGTAGATATATCTCGTCCCAACTTATAGTTTCCTAAACACGTACGTTTTATTATTCTTAGCTTGCACAGAACATCCTATGCACTGTTCTTTACTAACCCTCATATTATTTAAACTTCACTTATTCCTAAATCTTGTACAATGGGTTACCTTAAAACATAAACTATTCTAAATAGTTAAAACAGTCCGCTTAAAGCTGGGTAGAACTTCTAAACGAAGTAGTAAAAGTGATGAAATACTTCCTTATTTCTACTTTGTTTTCACTAAAATCTTATTTTTCAAACATTCCTTCCTATATGAGCTAGATTGTCAGTGGATTTATTTCAACAGAATATGTTATTTCATACCCCTCTCTTTCGTCTAAACATCAGGTTTGAAAATCAGCAATAATCTTCATCCTCACAGTGAGCTTCCATATTTTTACCGTACTAGTCCTGATGCTTCCAGTGAAAAACCTTAAATTGACACAAATTATTTGGGATCAAAAATGACTATACTATTTCTTTGTTTGTTGGCAGATGGCAACAAAACAGTAAGACAGGAAATAACTAAAGTAAGTTTTTTTAACTTAATAAGCTGCTTTATTCAGATTATTCTTATTATTATAGTCGACTCTATGATCAATACTATATATTTGGTCAAACTGCCAATATTTTTGTAGCGCATGGGCCAAAAAGTTTATCTAAAACGGTTTAATCCAACCAAGACTACAACTTAGTAACGATGATCCGTCCCTATAAATTCTGCGTTTATGGACTTGTCAAATCGAACTGTCGCTGACTTCTTCCAAGAGGTTTAGTTAGTTGCATGAGGTTTAAGAGAAACGATCAAATTATTCCAAGTGAGATTTAAATTCACGAACTTTATATAAATTAAACTATTTAACCTTTTATAATCGATATTTAAGGTCAATTTAGAAGGGGCTTATTTGGTTAACTCTGAATAGAAAAAACAATATGGGGGAAGTAACGAATCATTTTTCATTAGATTTTCATTTGAATAAAATATCATTTAATCCCTCGAATAACTTAAATTGACTCGTTCTGTTGATAACATGTTGAATTAATTAATGTGATTAAATCTATAGGAGAGTAATAACAGAAAATAAATCAAAACAAAAAAGGCATCAGAAGATGGGTGGTATGATGATTAAGACACATTCGGTGTAGGCTGTTTTTTATACATAACCCTTGCTATAGTTAACGTATTAAAAACACCTGTGCAGTTTCTAAATTCCTGAGCAAATCAAGTGACCTACAATATACCACAGTGAAGGTGGTTTCGGTCATGTTGTGACTTTGAACTTGGGTCGATGTTTACCCCGTGCCAATCGTTGCGTCGTTGATTGAAAGATTAGAGAGTAGCGTATTATATCGATCGATTCGGTGACACGTAAACACGTACGACCTAGAGTCCCGATTGGTCCCGCCTCCCTGTCTAGCCCAGCCAGTTGAGTCCAGAACACAAGTCACAACCTCTGAGATATGAATCGTTATATTTCAAACATACTCTGCTTATATACCAATCAAGCATACCACATCGTACCATAAAATAGAAAACAACATTTTGTACAATATTTAACAAGTGAACAAATATCGACCAATAGGAAATGTCCAATTAAAGTCCAAGGACACCATTGGACTTAACATGATAATTGTTGGTATATTCCTCTGCATCCCTAACAGGTTATGATGTCGTGCCTTCTATCAAGATGTATTCGGAATACTTTTGTGCACTTTGACGAACACTGAGACATTTAAACTACCATACTAAGCAATACTGCTGATGTTGACTTATTGGCGTCGTTATTTTCCCAAAACAAGTGATTACACAGTGAAAATTAGATTTGTATGTGTATATGTTTAGTATGAGATGTAGATACTGGGCAGGTAGTGATTTTATTGATTTGTTTACTGAGCTTGATAGTTAAATTCACACTCTCTGACCAGTATCGCCAGAAGTGAATTCTAAAAAATACTGCATTGGAACTTCCTTAGAAGTAATTGTCTTGTTTCTTTGACATAAAATTTAATTGATTGATAGTCATAATTGTATCTTTCCTATCTGCCCATTCATTTCTATTTTCTTCTTCTATAATCTGACCTCTGTCCTAGGCATTTGTTTATTTCATATGTTGATTGACAGGGTCCATGTTCATATGAACACTGGCTTCTGAATGAATAAACTGCGAAGGTTTAAAAATTATCCAGTAGTCTTTGCATTTCTTTTGTCTAAGATTTAGAAATTTCTCTGAAGAAACTTATTTTTACTGTTCATACTCCTGAAAGACACGTTGTAATCTTTGGTACCTAATTGATGTTCATACAAGTAGAGTGGCCACTTTATTAGACCACTAATTTCACACCGTTGTTCAGGCTTAATCTTATTATTATTATTATTTCGGGAAATAGTAGCTTACGACAAGACTGTCGAACACAGAGTATATAATGTTACCGAAATCCCCAGGAGATACAAATCTTTGGTTTGGTTAAAAGAAAATCATGATCTCCCCTTAAATAACACTGAAAATAATCTCATGTTTATTTGAGTCACTGGATTCCTTGTCTACACCTTTCATGAGTCTGTTTACTCAAGTCAAAGGTTAGCGTTTTTCAGAGACTCTTGATGAGACTAAACTAAATGTACTGAATCATCCATGTTGGTTACGTTCAACCAAGCGTTTCATAGTTCTGTCAGTTTGAGAAATTAATGCATATAAAAAGGATTTACAATCTCCGAGTTAGCTGACTACATGACCCAGATCAACTGTTTAGAGTATGGTGCCGAATTCTTGTTTAGTTATCGCATTAAGATTTTTTTCCAGTTATCGATAGTACTAGGTGGCAATAATATGATGCAATGATAACATCTGAACTTGGCTGAAGTAATAAGATATTTTTATAGGTTTCAGGTATCCCATCACTCTAGGAGCGCCCATTACATAGAGTATGATCCGACCAAAGGTTTTTGAAATTCTACTCTAGGACTGGTCTCAACTCTAGCATTTCCGTTCTCTAATTTCGTGGTATAATGTCTGCTTACGTGAAGTTTTCACATTCTGATGTGATCATTGAGAATCCTGTTTATCTTGTCAGTATACTTATCTCTAATTTAGAGAACTAGTCTAAACCATTCAGCATAAGTCATGTTCAATTTCTTTTTAATTATTTGGTTGCATTATTGTACTGTCTTTGGTAATTACTTACTTACTTACGCCTGTTACTCCTCGTGAAGGAGCATAGGCCGCTCACCAGCATTCTCCATCCAACCCCGTCCTGGGCAATCCTTTCCAGCTCCGTCCAGTTGTTATTCATCGTTTTCATATCTGCTTCTATTATCCGACGCAATGTGTTCTTTGGCCTTCCTCTTTTTCGCTTCCCTTCAGGATTCCAAGTTAGGGCTTGCCTCGTGATGCAGTTTGACGATTTGCGTAATGTATGTCCTATCCATTTCCGTCGTCTTTTCCTAATTTCTTCTTCAGCTGGAAGTTGGTTTGTTCTCTCCCACAGAAGGCTATTGCTGATGGTATCCGGCCAATGGATGTTGAGTATCTTGCGTAGACAGCTATTTATAAATACTTGTACCTTCTTGATTGTGGTTGTTGTAGTTCTCCAAGTTTCAGCTCCATACAGTAGAACTGCCTTGACGTTCGTATTGAAGATTCTCACTTTGATATTGGTTGAAAGTTGTTTTGAGTTCCATATGTTCTTCAATTGTAGGAATGCGACCCTTGCTTTGCCGATCCTCGCCTTTACGTCTGCATCGGATCCTCCTTGCTCATCGATGATGCTTCCCAGGTATGTGAAGGACTCTACATCTTCCAGAGTTTCGCCATCAAGTGTGATTGGATTGCTGTTCTCCGCTTTGAATTTGAGGACCTTAGTTTTCCCTTTGTGTATGCTGAGGCCTACTGATGCAGAGACCGCTGCTACACTGGCTGTCTTCATCTGCATCTGTTCGTGTGTACGTGATAGGAGGGCTAGGTCATCTGCGAAGTCCAAATCGTCTAATTGATTCTGAGCTGTCCATTGTATTCCGTGTTTTCCTTCAGATGTTGAGGTCTTGATAATCCAGTCGACCACCAGAAGAAAGAGGAAGGGAGAGAGTAAACAGCCTTGTCTGACTCCGGTCCTTACTTGGAATGCATCTGTCAGCTGTCCTCCATGCACTACTTTGCACTGTAGTCCGTCGTATGAGTTCCGGATAATATTGACAATCTTCTCAGGAACTCCGTAGTGTCGAAGAAGTTTCCATAATGTCCTCCTATCTACACTGTCGAATGCCTTTTCATAATCAATGAAGTTGATGTATAGTGATGAGTTCCACTCAACTGATTGTTCGACGATGATCCGTAGTGTTGCAATTTGGTCTGTGCACGACCGATCCTTACGGAATCCAGCTTGTTGATCTCGAAGTTGGGCGTCTACTGCATCCTTCATCCGGTTCAGCAACACTCTGTTGAAGACTTTCCCTGGTATTGACAGTAGTGTAATGCCTCTGTAGTTTTCACATTTGCTCAGATCTCCTTTCTTTGGAATCTTGACAAGGTGTCCCTCTTTCCAGTCCATCGGCAATTGTTCCTCCTCCAAAATCTTTTTGAACAGAAGATAAAGCATGCTTGTGGTTGCTTCGATGTCTGATTTCAGTGCTTCAGCTGGTATGTTGTCGGGTCCCGCTGCTTTCCCGTTCTTGATTTGTCTGACGGCCATTCTAATTTCTTCCGTAGTTGGTGGATTGACATCTATAGGAAGATCTATGTGTGCTGCTTCGATGTCCGGTGGATTCATTGGAGCCGGCCTATTCAGGAGTTCCTCGAAGTATTCTACCCATCTGTTACGCTGTCGTTGAATTTCGGTGATTGGCTTGCCTTCTTTGTCTTTGACCAGCCTCTCTGGTTTACTGTATTTCCCTGATAGTTTCTTCGTTGTATCGTGAAGCTGTTTCATATTTCCTTCTCTAGCAGCTTTTTCTGCCGTCGTTGCTAGTTCTTCAACGTATTTCTTCTTGTCGGCTCTAATGCTCCTCTTCACTTGTTTGTTTGCTTCTATGTATTCAGCTTGTGCTTGGACTTTCTCTGCTCGTGTTCGGCTGTTGTTTATTACTGCCTTTTTGTTCTTCCTTTCTTTGATCTTGTCCAGTGTTTCTGTAGAGATCCATTCCTTATGATGGTATTTCTTTAGACCCAGAACCTCTTGACACGTTGAAGTTAACGCTTCCTTGATGCCTTTCCAGTTGTCCTCCATGCTAGTTTCTCCTTCTTTCAGTAGATACTGTAAGGCTTGGAACCTGTTGTTGAGAGCTATCTTGAATTCATTGAGTTTGTCAGTATCTCGAAGGAAGGCTATATTGAACCTTTGTAGTGCTGTTTGTCCACTTGTCCAGTTCTTTTTTAGCTTCAGTTTTAAATTGGCTACAACTAGGTGGTGATCTGAAGCTACGTCAGCACCTCTCCTGGTTCTCACATCTTCCATTGTCCTTCGGAATTTTTTGTTGATGCAAATATGATCTATTTGGTTCTCTGTAGTGTGGTCCGGTGAGATCCATGTAACCTTG